AGGCCCACCCGATCCCCCTGGTATAACAACCATCTCCGCTGCCTAAAAACCCAAACCCGGCTGCTCGAGCGCAGATGACGGAAAACTGGCCTGACAGTTCATCACCAACTGTGGCTCGAGCATCTCCACAGCTACCGTCGTTCCTTGACATGCGCAAAAACGGCTTCTACCCCAAAATCATCCTGGAGGCTAAACAGAATCCTAAAATCCTTTTTTCCACCACCCACTACTTCCTCCGTGCCCCCCCTCAGGCCTCCTCAATCTTCACATCCAATGTCAAGTGCGAGGAGGTCATGGACTTCTTTTCATCTAAAATACACAACATCCGCCAGGCAGCCTCATCCACCTGCCCCTTGTCACCCACCACCACGCCCTCACTGACCCCTTCACCCTCCCCATCATCTGCTCCTACCACCAGCCCCATTCTACATTCCTTCCTCCCCATCTCTCCCTCCTCCCTCTCACCCACCATCACCTCCATGAAACCCACCACCTGCTGCCTCGACCCCCTCCCCGCCAACTCGCTGGTCACCCAGCTCCCCTTCCTCTGCCTACTACTGGTTGACGTCATCAACCAGTCCCTCTCCTCCGGATTAATCCCTGCCCCCCTCAAAACTGCTGTCATCACCCCCTTCCTGAAAAAACCTTCTCTGGATCCCTCAAACCCCAGCCATTACCGTCCTATCTCTAACCTGCCCTTCCACTCAAAAGCTCTAGAACGCGTTGTTGCCAACCAACTCCGCGCACACCTCTCCTCCCACTCCCTCTTCGAACCCCTCCAGTCCGGTTTCCGCCCTGCGCACAGTACTGCACGCAGAGACTGCGCTTGTGAAAGTCACAAATAACATCCTCTCTATCTGTGACCAGGGCTCCCTCTGCCTCCTTATCCTCCTGGACCTCTCCACCGCGTTCGACAGTCGATCACTCCATCCTCCTCCACTGCCTTTCCTCCGTTATCCACCTCAGTGGGACCGCACTCGCCTGGTTCGAGTCCTATCTCACAAACCGCCAGCAGTACATCTGCACAAACGGCTTCTCCTCCCGCTCTCACCCGGTTATCTGCGGGTACCCCAAGGATCCATCCTTGGCTCCCTCCTCTTTCATCATGCTCCCTCTTGGGGATATCATCGGCAGACATGGGGTACATTTCCACATGTATGCGGACGACACCCAATTCTATTTTTCCACTTCACTTTGTGACCCCCCCAGTCCCCTGATGTTCTGCCTGTCAGACTTCAGGGGCTGGATGAGCGCAAATTTCCTTCAGCTGAACATTGACAAGACGGAAGCCATACTCTTTGGCTCTCGCCAACATCTAAAATCTCACGGTTCTCATCTCCTCCACCTACCCGACCTCCCGCTAAAACTCGCCGAACCCGTACGCAACTTAGGCGTCAGGTTCCTCCCCCACATCCAGTCCCTCACCAGCACCGCTTTCTTCCACTTCCGACGCATTGCCCGTCTCTGCCAATATTTCTCTCCGAAAGCCGCTGAAACCCTGGTTTATGCCTTTGGAACCTCTCTGCTGGACTATTCCAATGCCCTCCTCGCCGGTCTCCCCTCCACTACCATCCATAAAATCCAGATTATTCAAAACTGTGCCGCCCGCATTCTCACCCGTACCAAACTCCACTCCCCGATCCCCCAGTCCTTGCCAGACTGCACTGGCTGCCTGTCCCCGAGAGGATCGACTTCAAGACCCTCGCCTTTGTCTTCAAATCCCTGCACTCCTCTGCACCCCCCGACCTCTCTGACCTCCTCTCTCCTCACAACAGTGGCCGTTGCCTTCGTTCCTCTGGGTCTGGCCTCCTCCTCGTCCCCCGAGTCCTCCGCTCCACCCTTGGCGGCTGTGCCTTCAGCCACTATGCCCCGAGGCTCTGGAACTCCCTTCTTCACTCCCTTTGTCTCGCCCCCACTCTTCCCATTTTCAGGCCTGTGCTGAAGACCTTTCTTTCCGACCGCGCCTTTGGTCACCTGCCTCCCACTCCCCCTCCCCGACCCCAGGATCTGTTACTGTAAAGCGCTCTGACACGCCATTCGGCATGGAGGGCGCTATATATATCCAAGTTGTTGTTGTTTGCCCCCAGGATGACTTTGGAGTAAAAGTCAGTTGTGGCTTGTGAAAGGGAGAGGTGGTGGGTGTGGAGGCGCTCGAGTCACAGCTGGCGGTGAATCATGAGGGCGGATTTCTGCCATCTGCGCTCAAGCATCCGGATTTGGGTTTTATGTGAGCGGAGATGATTATTGTAACAGGGGGAGCGGGTGAGTCTGGAAACAGCTCTGGATTTCAGGGGTGTCAGGGAATTGAAAGTTGTGGATAGACGGTCATTCAGCAGCTTGATGACTGTATCAGGATGGCTGTGGGGGGGAGGGCCAGAGGGAAAGGAGGTCCGAGGAAGAGAAGGTATTTGTGACAGACTCAGGGGAAGACTTTTTCCAGGAGCAGGAAAAAATGGTGGAAGGGCTTGGAAGAGAGGAGAGGGATGTTGGAGGAGATGGACACGAGGAAGTGGTCCGAGATGGCTTTGTCTGTGACAGATAGGTCAGAAATATCATGTGTGATGACGAAGTCGAGAGAATGGGTCAGCGAGTTGATGTGGAGGGTGAGGTTTAGGAAGGAGAAGAAGGCAGTGAAATCCGAGGAGGTGGTTCAAGGGGAGTTTAGGTGGAGTTTGAAATTGCACTTTATGAGCAGGTGTTCAGTGCAGAGGGACAGGGACGTGAGGAGATATCAGTGAGGAAGGAGCCAGGAGCTGGAGAGGGAATAAATCAATGCAGCGAGATCATGGGCTCCGGAACAGGGTTGCGAAGGACAATTTTCAGAGACTCACTCAAGAATAGCCAAACTAGTTTTATGATGACAGCATTAAGCTATCTTGTAAATGTATTGGGTGTTCTGACCTCTGTACACATTGGAGAAACCATTCCAGCTGTTGATAATCCACTCTAAAGAAATGCTTCCTCATCTGTTGGAAAATTGCCTTTTGCAACCCTGTCCCGGAGCTCATGATCTTGCTGCATCGATGCACTCTCTCCAGGTCTCTGAACCCTATGTACACCTCTTGTGAGACACTGGAGGCTGAAGAGTCCTAACTTGTCCCTGTAAATAAGGTCATCTCCTTTCTCTCCTCTCCTCTTCAGTCTCTAGAGCAGTCACCCTCTGATGGCATTGCAGACAGCACTGCAGTGTCAGACTCCGACTGCACAGAATCCGCTACAAACCTACTAAAAATATTGTTTCGGGCCCGTGGGCCTTACGCTGTTTGGTAAGGTCTGCCCCCACCCTCAACTCCAGACCCACTGCTGTCCTGATAGACTGCCTGTCTGCCCCCACCCTCAGCCCCAGACCCACTGCTGTCCTGACAGACTGCCTGTCTGCCCCCACCCTCAGCCCCAGACCCCCTGCTGTCCTGACAGACTGTCTGTCGGACACCAAGTCCTGGATGAGGGCAAACTTCCTACAGTTGAATGTGAACAAGCCCTCCTGATTGGCTCACACCAGCGCCTCCGCACCTCAGGCTCTGGCAGCATCAACTTCCATGATTGGACACTTCAACTCACCAACTCACCGCCAGTAAGGAACCTGGGGGTCTTGTTCGACCCTCAACTGTCTTTTCTTCCCCACATCCAAGCCATGACCCGCTCTGCCTTCCCTCATCTCCGAAACATCGCCCGACTCCGCCACTACCTCACCCCTCAGGCCATTGACAGGAGAGCCTTCAGCCACTCTACCACCAACCTCTGGAATTCCATCCCTCAATCACTCCGCCTCGCCCCCTCCTTAGCCTCCTTCAAGACCCGCCTCCTCTTCGACCATGCCATCGGTCACCCCCTGCCCCTCCCCTCCCTTCTTCCCCCCGACCCCAGCTCAGGTCTGAAGGGCTGTCACTGTCCAGCGCCTTGGGTCGTCCTCCCAACGTGAAGTGTGTTAGTGTGAGTGTCTCTCTCTGTCTCAGTGCAAGTGTCTCTCTCTCTCTGCGTCTCTGGGTGTGTGTGTCTCTCTCTCTCTGTCTCTGAGCGTGTACGTCTCTCTCTCTGTCTCTGAGTGTGTACGTCTCTCTGTCTCTGAGTATGTATGTTTCTCTCTCTGTCTCTGAGCGTGTATGTCTCTCTCTCTGTATCTGAGTGTGTATGTCTCTCTCTCTATCTCTGAGTGTGTATGTTTCTCTCTCTGTCTCTGAGCGTGTATGTCTCTCTCTCTGAGTGTGTATGTCTCCCTCTCTGTATTGATTGCGTATGTCGCTCTCTCTGTCTCTGAGCGTGTATGTCTGTCTCTCTATCTCTGATTGTGTATGTCTCTCTCTCTGTATCTGAGTGTGTATGTCTCTCTCTCTGTATCTGAGTATGTATGTCTCTCTCTCTAGCTCTGAGTGTGTATGTCTCTCTCTGTATCTGAGTATGTATGTCTCTCTCTCTATCTGAGTGTGTATGTCTCCCTCTGTGTCTGTGTGAGTCTCTCTATGTCTGTGTGGCCCAGAGTTCTGGAGCGCTTCACAGTGGCAGAGTCTGACAACGAGCCAAGGATAGAGGGAGGTGCAGGTGACCATAAGTAAGATCAAAAAGGAAGGTCTTTAGGCAGCATTTGAAGGTGGGGAGGGAGGGCCAAGGGGGAAGGATCGAGGGAGAGAGTTCCAGAGTCATCTTCATTTCACACACCATCTCATGTGATCATGTGTGTGGGAGGGAGTGCGGAGAGGAAACCTTGGATACCTTATGATTCCAAAAGAGAATGAACCAAATGCGCCAATTTGAAAAAACATCAGGAGCCTCTACTGACCCGCCCAGGCTGCTTTTCTCCACAGAAATAATTGTAAGCCATAAAGTCTCTTCATCACACTGTAAACACTATAGGTGGGGGTTCAGCCCATGAAGAGGGACAACTACACACAACCTATGCAGCTTATTTATTGTACTGATCCACAAATGGAAACTAGCAGAGTTAAATGATTCAAAGGATGAATCTGGATTTTAAATACACAACACACAATTCTTGAACTTACCAAAGAATCCTTTATGACTTCACTTGTGTAAAATGCTGAGGAGAAATGAAAGAAGAGTCAGTAATCTATGAAAAACACTTTGAAAGTTTGCGAAGTTAATACTCTGCCTAAGGATGCCAATCACATTATTAAACGGTGAATAGCTAATGATGATCAGCAACCGTGACTGCCCAGAACCTGCCTCCAGGAGCAGCTACATAATGCTATCAGCTCGCACAACTCAGATATGCTTCCATTCCTGATCTGGCATGGCAGCACATCTCATTGGTATTAGCACTTGCTGGATTTTGTCATTGGCCATCAATAATGAGAGACATACAGAAACCCAGTGACAATTTAACAGGTTAAAAGTTACCGATATCACTTCATAATAACGATCTATGCATTTGATATAGCGTCTAATCACAATGTTGAGACGTCTCAAAGCGCTGCACTTGTATATACTGTAAAGTGAATTGATTTGTGAATTTTTTGCATGAAATGCAGCAGCCAATTGCACACAGCAGCGTCCCCCAAACAGTCAGGTTTGGAACTTTGTCCTTGCTGCTTCATTTAAGATCACAAATGTAGGCTTTTATTTTAATGTAATTTACTGCCTCATTGAAACAAATTTACTATCCTTGAATAATTCATCTTCTATTTAATGAGCTAAGCAACTGAAACGTTGCCCTACATTAATGGACCAATAAAATATAAGTTGTGCGGCTCCATACAGGGCCAGGCAGCAAAATAAAACAGGTGAAAGTGAAAAGCACCCAGAAGTGGAGGTTCTGACACCATTTAAGATATTCAAATTCCTGAATTGCTTGTTGATAGCTTAAGTGAATAAAAGTAAATGAAGATATAATAATAATTCTTGCTTTTGATATATCACCTCATCACGTCTTCGAAACGTCTCAAAGAGCTTCACAGAATATACTGTAAAGTGAATTGACAGTATTTTGTGGGCAAAACGCAGCAGCCAACTGTGTCCAGTAGTGTCCACAAACAGTCGTGGATTGAGTGACCAAATTATTACTATTATTTTTTTCTCAAGGGATAATTATCTGGGAAAGGCGATCCGCCAATCGACTAACAGCCGGATTCCTATTCACTGCTAGGTAAACAGAAGCGAGTGGAGTAAGGAAATTTGCCTAAGGTTTCGCTCTACCCGGGAATCAAACCCAGGTCCTCTTGCTTGCGAGGCAAGTGCTCTAACCAATACTTCACATTTGATTGACAATCAGTCAAGTAAGTTTCTGACAAAGCAAAGAAACAAGTGCATTCAGACCATCACACCTGTTCTGCCAGCATATTAATCCTATCTATCTCCCTTTTAAAAGTCCATATGGATTCTGTATCTATAGCTTTCTTGGGTAGTGCATTCCACACTCTCACACCCCTCCATGTGAAGAAAGGTTTTCTGATTTTTACTTCTAATTAGCAGCAATTTTTAATGATATTCGCTGGTTTGGGATCCTCTGTCAAAGGACAGTTTGGACTCGTAAAGGATTGGGAAGATAAGAGAGTTCAGCTGCTCCCTTCAATGGGACTGCAATCCATACCTCTCAGGGATGGCACAGGTTGAGGTGATTATTCCCTTCATTACTTTGAACACCTCAGTCAGGTGATCCTTTAACTTCCTTAACTCCAGAACGTTTAGGCTCAAGTCTTGTTACAAACACTTATATAGTATTGTGGGGAACTCGCCATGATGTGTGTTACACGGTAGAGTCTTGTAGCTCAGTGGTTAGAGCACTCACCTCACAAGTGAGAGAACTGGGTTCATTTCCCAGGCAGGCAAAATGTTGGGCAAGTTTCCCTACTCCACACGCCATTGTTTACCAAGCAGTAAGTAGGAACCCACTTGTTAGTTGATTGGCAGATCGCTTTACGAGGGTAATAATTCCTTCAAAAAAAAATTATAAATTGGTCACTTCAATCCACGACTGTTTGTGGGACACTGCTTACTTAGCGCAATTGGCTGCCATGTTTCGCCCACAAAACATACTTTACAGGTTCTTCTGTGAAGCGCTTTGAGATGTCTTAAAGACGTGATAAAGTGCTATATCAAATGCAAGGAATATTATTATTATTATCTATCCACCTCAGTCAGGACAACATCCACAGCCTTTGGAGGGAAAGTTCCAGATTTTCATTACTCTGTGGGTGAAAAACTGCCTCCTGATTTCACTCCTAAATGGCCTAATTTTAAGATGATACCTCTTGTTCTGGATTCCTCCAGAAATAGTTTCTCTGTATCTACCCTATCAAATTCTTTTATTATTTTAAAAAGCTCAATTAGATCACCTCTCAACCTTCTAAACTCAAGGGAGTTTTGATTTCAGTAAATTTGATTTTAGCAAATTAAATTCCAGTAAATTATCTGCTGGAATGTTAAGCCTTGAAAATATGTTAAACTCTTTGCTGTGACACAAGACACTATACAAACACAGGGCTCACAGATCCTTAACTGAGCTAAACACGCACAACAAATCGATCCACAATGCAACTTTTACCTGTGTTTTACTGCACTATACCTTTACCAGGACAAAACAAGGAGAAGCCAAGGCAGAGGGATAGAGGAAGAGTGTTCCAGAGTTGGAGGGTGTAGTGGCTGAAAGCGGGGCCAACAATGGTGGAACGGAAGGCACAAGGGACATGCAGAAGGCTGGAGCCAGTAGACCGCAGGCATCAGGTTGTGGTTTGAGAGGGGCTGAGCAGGTCGGAGAGGTAGGGAGGTGCCAGTGCATAAAGGGATTTGAAATTGAGTGTGAGCATCTTGAAATCGGCAATAGGGAGCAGTGGAACCTGGCTAGAACTGATATGATGGGGGTGCGGAGCTTAGTATGGGTGAGTATGAGGGCGGCGGAATTTTGGATCAGTTGAATCCTGTGCATGATGGAACTGGGAAGACTGGCAAAGAGGGCAATTTGAGAAGTCGATTCGGGAGGTGACGAATACATGGACGAGTGTTTTGGCTGCATTCGAGGCAAGGTACGGTCGGAGGTAGGCAATGTGGCAGAGGTGGGGGAAGACGGTCCTGGGACCGGATGTGGGGAAGGAAGGACATCTGTGGGTCGAACTTGACGCCTAGGTTGTGCACTGATTCGGTAAGTCTGAGGGATAGACCGGGGAGGTTAAGGAGGTCAGAGCCGCAGGATAGAAGACGTTGACGGAAGCCAATATGTATGGCTTCCGTCTTGTCAACATTTAGTTGTAGGAAGTTTTTGTGCATCCAGTCCCTGAGATGTCTAAAAGTACTTCACAGAAAATATGATAAAGTGAATTGACTTTATATTTTGTGGGCGAAACACGGTAGTTGATTGGACACAGCAGTCTCCCACAAACAGTTGTGGATTGAGTAATCACATTTTTTTGAGGGATTATTGCTCCCAGAAAGGTGATCCGCCTATCAAATAACAATCGGGTTCCTACTTACTGTGAGGTAAACAGATGTGTCTGGAGTAAGGAAACTTGCCCAGGAATTCGCCCACTCAGGAATCAAACCTGTGTCTTCTCGCTTACGAAGTGAGTGCCCTAACCTTACGCTACAGGATTTTCAAATTGGAGATTTAAAGGATCAGGTACAAGAATCATTCAATTGTTACACGTATGCATCAGATGGCCACAATTGCACAAGTCTGTTTTGTTGTCATCTTTTTCCCTGACCTCATTTCATTCTGAATCCTTTTATGTCAAAAAAAAAGCAGATAAATTATACTTTTAGGAGATAAAATTGAAAAGTTTTCCCATTTAAGTAAACTTTTTTAAAAAAAAACTTGCTTGCTGGAAACTCCCCCACAAAATTACAGTACTGGGAATTATTCAAATGGTGTCAGCCATTGTGGCTAGTCAAGATTACTATTCTTCCGGCAAATTATTTTGACACACACACACATGTGTTTAAACACACATTAAAAATATTAAGTACCGTCATTTGAATAACAACTTATGAATTTGAGTAGCTATTAGCACCCAATGTATAGCTTAACCATCTAGGTTCTCATGATGTAAATTATCTAGTCCATCTACTCAGGCTACATAGGAACAGGAGTAGGTCATTCAGCCCCTTCAGTCTGTTCTATCATTCTGTAAGATCATGGCTGATCTGTACCTCAACTCCAATTACCCACCTTTGCCCCATATCCCTTGATACCCTGACCTAACAAATATCAATCCACCTCAGTCTTGAAAATGTTAATGGATCCAGCATCCACAGCTTTTTGGGAGAAGAGAGTTCCAGATTTCCGCTACCCTTTGGGTGAAAAAATGCTTCCTGATTTCACTTCCAAATGGCCTAGCTCTAATTTTCAGATAATGCCCCCTTGTTCTGGATTCCTGACAAGAGGAAATAATTTCTCTGTAGCTACCCTATTGAATCCAGAGAAATTGGCCGTTAATATACCAGGTAAACTACAGGAAATGGAATGTAAACCAGAGCTCCCACCAACGGGCATACCCCAAACATTGTGCTCCTCAAAGGTAAACAACAATAACAACAACTTGCATGCATATAGCGCCCCTCATGCAGGGTAGTGTCCCAGAGCGCTTAACCTCTGGATTGCATCCCCATCCACATACTCTGCTTCCCATGCTCCTCAAAATACGCTATGCTGAGGGTATCACCGCTGTATAACCCTGCAAATGTCCTGTCTCTCTTTGTCTCTCTCTCTCTGTCTACATAGATTGACAAGGGCCAGGTTAACCGTGACTCACAACTCTATTTCTAGAATATTTCTTCTCATCAAATCTATCCCTCCTGCACTCTGTCTTCAAACAGATCAACTTTAAGGTCTTCCAACTACAAATCCCTTCATGCCCTAGCACCTCCCTATCTCTGCAGTTTTCTCCTACCCTAGTTTTGTTTGCGTTCCCTCTACTCAGATAACACTGTACTTTGTGGAGTCCTGTAACTCAGTGGTTAGAGCACTCGCTTTGCAAGCGAGAGACCTGAGTTCATTTCCAGGCAGAGGGCGAAACCTTGGGCAAGTTTCCTTACTCCACACAGAGCCTAATAATAATCCTCCAAAAAAACAAAAACAATAATTAAATTGGTCATTTTCAATCTACGACTGTTTGTGGGACATTGCTGTGCGCAATTGGCTGCCGCGTTCGCCCACAAATATACAGTCAATTCACTTTACAATGTGTTCTGTGAAGCGCTTTGGGACGTCCTCCCGACGTGAAAAGCGCTATATCAAATGCAAGGATTATTATTATTATTATTATTATACTTCAATTGGTGGCCAAACTTTTAGAAACTATAACCCTAATCTCTGGAACTTTCTCCCTCTATCTCTCCATCTCAGTCTTTAAATCCCATCTAAAGAATAGCACCATCTGATCCTATGTTTGTGAGGCTCCGAGGCATTATCCTACATCACCTGATTATTTCCCTTCCACTGAGCGTTACATTTCTGCCCCAGCATCTATATTCCTTTCTGGTCTGTATGGCTCTGTTTTTCTGCTCTGCTATACACTCACCAAAATGTACAGAAAACTTTTCCAGGATGTTTTAAAAATCGTTTAAGGTTTTCACGTTTTTGCCACTAATACAAGACATTTGATAAACTATTCTTGTTGCACAAAGCGAACAGCCGCTGATTTTACCCAAAGTCACCAAGAATTATTTTTCTGCAGTTAAGCAAACTTGACCCCATAATTCAATTTACCTTTAAAGATCTTCATATCATCGCAAAGGTGCAGGCTAAAGTACGTGTCCAAAAGATGGAAACCATTCTTGTTGACTACATTTCGGGCTGCAATACTTCGTAGATGTCTAAGACGTCGCTGGAATAAAGTAAAAAGATCAGATTTATACAGGCTGGACACTTAGTTTTCACTCTTTGTACAATTGCATTTGCTCACATCATGCTTTAATGTTAATAACAATCCTTGCAATTGATACAGCGCCTTATCACGTCATTGAGACCCGTCAAACCGCTTCACAGAATATACTGTAAAGTGAACTGACTGTATATTTTGTTGGTGAAATGACTGTATATTTTATATATTTTAGAAAATAGATGGGTGGGAAAGTTGAATTTCAGTTACAAAGTATTAATTTATAAACCTTGCATTTGATAACCCTTACATTTGATATTGCTCCTTATCACGTTGTTGAGATGTGTCAAAGCACTTCACAAAATATATTGTAAAGTGGATTGACTGTGTTTTGTGGGCGAAACGCGATAGCCAATTGTGTACAACAGTGTCTCATAAACAGTCATGGATTGAATAATCAGAATTTTGAGGGGGGAGGGATTATTACCCCTGGAAAGCGATCCGCCAATTGACTAACAAATGGGTTCCTACACACTGCTGGTAAACATAGGCGTGCGGAGTAAGGAAACTTGCCTATGGTTTCGCCCGGTTGGTAACGCACCCGGGTCCTCTCACTTGCGAGACGAGCAATTTAATACAACATATCAAAAATGGTTATACTATATACCAATACCCAAACCAGTGACTTTGGGTGAGATTACATACTCCATTACAACCTTTTGTAAATTAATTGTTAAGTTATAATATAATCATGCTCACATTTGACTTAGCTCTGTATTCAGGTGAACAGCTGGTAAGATTGTGAAAATAGAGGGGCCCAGGTTGAGAGCGAAGGACCTTTTTGGGTTGCGTGGTATATTTGAAGAGATGATTGATGCCCACCCTCTTCTGACGAAGTGGAGCATGTTTATCACAATGCTTTCTTAAAATGCCACCCTTTCCATGTAAACTCAGAATGCCTTCTCTCCTTCCTCCATTACTTTTAAGATAAGAAAACAAAACTAATTCCTTCCAAAGACCACAACAAATCTCTGACATGTACCAAATTTCGAGCAGAAAGCTTCATAAGATGCACCTTAACCCCAAAGGCAGACATACAAGTAAACATTTCAAAACATTCATCCGCATGGCTACAAAATGCAGTCAAACCTGTCCACAAAATTCCCCTATTCGTTTCTCTCACTCCTCACCCCACCAGGGCCTAAGCAGCTCAATGGCCTTTCAATTCTATGATGTTGTTGCTCATCTTAATCCAGATGTAACCCTGACATTTTCTCCAAGCCATTGGAAGACTGCACGACCCAGTTGTTTTTGATCATTAGCAAATGCTGAGTCAATCATTATTTTGCATATAAAAATCATCACATTTGACTTACAACACAATACAAAGTTACATTTACACGGAGCCTTTCACGTTGGAAGGACGTCCCAAGGCGCTGGACAGTCAGGGATTTGGACCCGAGTTGGGGGTCGGGATCAGGGAGAGTGGAGGGCAGGGAGAGTAGCAGGGTGGCTGAAGGCACGGTCGAAGAGGAGGGTTTTGAGACAGGCCTTGAAGGAGGCAAGGGAGGGAGCGAGGCGAAAGGAATGTGGTATGGAGTTCCATGGGGTGGGGCAGAAAGGCTGAAGGCCCAGTCGCCAATGGTGGGGCAGGCCAGGTGGGGGATATGGAGCAGGCCAGAGCCAGCTGAGCAGAGGCAGTGGACAGGTTGATTTGGGGTCAGCAGGTCACAGAGGTAGGGAAGAACAAGGCAGTGGAGGGCCTAGAAGGCAAGGACGAGGATTTTGAACTCTATCCTCTGGAGGATGGGGAGCCAATGGAGCCGGACGAGGGTGGGGATGATGGGGTCACGGAGCCTAGTGCAGGAGAGGACACAAGCTGCAGAGCTCTGTACGATCTGCAGCTTGTGGAGGGAAGAGTTGGGAAAGCCCACAACCAAGGAGTCGGCAATAGTGGAGCCTAGATGTGATGAATGCAACTTAGTTCTGTATTCAGGTGAATAGCTGATAAAATAGTGAAAATCGAGCGGCCCAGGTTGAGATAAAGGATCTTTGTAGGATGCTCGTATATTTGAGAGGCTGGAACTCTACAAGTATTGACAGCCATTCATGGCCTCGCCCAAGTGGTTAGTGTTCGTTTGGAAAGCAGGGAGTAAGGGTGAGAGGGAGGGAAAGCAGAGAGTTTAAGGGTGTGAGGGAGTTATTTATGAGGCAGCACAGCCAAGCCCAATCTTTTATTCCTGAATGGTAATTTGAAACAGGATCACCATCTAATTTTCCCACCTCTGAAGCCCAGATTGAATCCAGTACAGCAGTGGCACATCCAGTGAACATCAGACAACTCAGTTGTTCTTTACCTTCTGAAGTAATTTCCTACATTTTTATAAAACTAGAAACATAAGCCACTAATTCCCTTGGCAGATTTCAACCCTGGCAAGAATACACAATACTGTGAAGTACTCTCATCTCCAAGTCAGATTGTGGGGTCAAGAACCATGTCAGGACTTTGAGCTCAAACACATGCCTGGCAACAGAATGTCGGAATGAGCCCTCTGTGGCAGTCTCGGCACTCCAGTTCCTGAGCCAGGCATCTTACTATTGAATCTGCTTCCACCACCCTTTCAGGCAGTGCAATCCAGACCGTAATAACTTTCTGGGTAAAAAAAATCTCTGCATCTCCCCTCCGGTTCTTTTGTCAATTATCTCAAATCTGCGTCCTCTGGTTACCAACCTACCCACCAAAGGAAACAGTTTATCCCTGTCTACTGTATCAAAACCCCTCATCATCCCCTCTATCAAATCTCCCATTTACATTCTTTACTCGAGGGAGAATCATCACAGCCTCTCGAGATGCTCCAAATAACTGAAATCCCTCATCCCTGGTATAATTTTGGCAAATCATAGTTAAGATTAGTCTTTGCTTTTTAGCAGTGTGTGAGGCATTGCTGTGTGTAAATTGGCTGCTGTTTTTTTGGTCAGCCGGGTGTCTGACAGGTGGAAACCCGATCACCGTGCTGAAGAGTCTCCAAACCAAACTGGGAATTGCATGCATTCCACCTACACACAGAATCATAGAATCACAGAATTATGCAGCACAGAAGGAGGCCATTCGGCCCATTGTGTACTCCCCCGCTCTCTCCCCATAGCTCTGCAAACTTGTCCTCCCCAAATAATTATCCACTTCTCTCTTAAAAGTTGTTACAGAATCGGTTCCCATCGGCCTTTCAGGCAATGCATTCCAGATCCCAACAACGCGTTGTGAACACATTTCTCCTCCCCTCTCCTCTGTTTCTTTTAACAACTATTTTAAATCGGTGCCCTCGGGTTACCGACCCGCCCGCCAGTGGGAATAGTTTCTCCTGTTCACCCTATCGAATCCCCTCAACATTTTGAAGACTTCTGTTCAGTCTCCTCTTAACCTTCTCTGCCCCAAGGAGAATAATACTGGCTTCTCTACCTCTCCTGATCACTGAAGCCCCTCATTCCTGGTACCATTCTGGTCAATCTCCTTTGCACCCTCTCCAATGCCTTGACATCCTTCCTAAAGTGTGGGGCCCAGAACTGAACACAGTCTCTCGCTGAGGCCCCACCAGTGTTTTATATAAAGGTTTATCATAACTTCCTAAACTTCATCTGCAACATGTCTTCCCATTTTACCAGTCTGTCTATGTCCACTTTCATCCGCCCTCTCCGCATACTTTCAAAAAAGTCTATCAGGTTTGTTAGACACAATTTGCCTTTAACAAACCCGTGTTGACTGTCCTTTATTAACCCATATTTTTCTAAGTGAAAGTGTATATTGTCTCGGATTATAGTCTCTAGAAATTTCTCCACTACTGACGTTAGGCACTGGCTGTAGTTCCCGGGTTTATCCTTTGCCCCTTTTTGTACAGGGAGTAACATTTGAACCCTTCAGTCCTCTGGCACCGTCCCGGTGTCCAAGGAGGATTGAAAGATTGTGGCCAGAGCCTCTGCTATTCCCACCCTGACTTCCCTCAGTAACTCTCAGGATGTATCCTGTCCGGACCAGGTGACTTATCTGCCTTGAGCACTGACAACCTTTTTAGTGCCTCCTCTCGGTTTATTCTTATCCAATTTCTCTCCCCTCTCCTCCAATACTGTGGCATTGGCTGCATCCTCTTCTTTTGTGAAGACAGATACAAAGTCCTCATTCAGTACGTCAGCCGAGCCCTCTGCCTCCACAAGAAGGTTTCCTCTTTGATCCCTAATTGGACCCACCCTACCTTTGACTGACCTTTTATTCTTTCTATGCTTATAAAATATAAAATACCTTAGGGTTCCCTTTTATGTTACCCGCTGATCTTTTCTCATACAATCTCTTTGCCCGTCTTATTTACTTTTTCACTTCTCCTCTATCCTTTCTATATTCTATTTGATTATTTTCTGTATTTTGGACCTGACATTTATCATAAGTCACCTTTTTCTGTTTTATTTTATTCCCAATTTCCTTACTCATCCAGGGAGGTTTGGATGCTCTCCTTTCCCCTTTGTGGGAATGTAGTTGTTTTGTCCCTGAACTATCTCTTCCTTGAAGGCTTCCCATTGCTCATTAGTTATTTTACCTGTCAATCTCTCTTTCCAGTCCACCTTGGCTGGGTCCCTTTTTAACTCACTGAAATTAGCCTCTTCCAGTGAGTATCTATACCTTTGATGGTTCCTTGTCCCTTCCCATAAGTACTCTAAACCTAATGATGTTGTGAACACTGTTGTTCAGATGCTCTCCTACTGAAACTGCTCCACTTCATTCCCCAGAACGAGATCCAGCACTGCTTCCTTCCTCGTTGAGCTGGAAACATACTGATCCAGAAAATTATCTTGCAAACATTTCAGGAATCGTTCCCCCTCCTTGCCCTTTACGCTGTTATGTTGCCAGTCTATGTCAGGATAATTGAAGTCCCCCATTATCACTACTCTATGAGTTTTGCAGATTTGCTTGTCTATCTGCTTCCCACTATTTGGTGGTCTATAGTGTACACCTAAAACAGAGTAACAGCTCCTTTTCTGCTCCTTAACTCTAACCAAATAGATTTTGTTTTTGGAACCTCGAGCACATTGTCCCATTCCAGGGCCGTAATCGTGTCTTTGATCAATATTGCCAGTCCCCTCTCTTCTTTTTCCTTCCCTATCCCTCCTGAATCCATTGCAGTCAGGAATATTCAGCTCTTCCTGCCCTTGTTTGAGCCAGGTCTCCGTTATTGCCGCTACATCATAACCCCATGTGGCAACTTGAGCCACAGCTCACCAATCTTATTTGTCACACTCCGTGCATTTAAGCACATGCACTCCAAGACCGAATGAGTCTGTTCTGCATTTCTCCCCCATATAATCCCTCCTTTTTTCTGGATTGCTCCTGATTACATTGCTATTCGTCTCTCCCAGCCCTCTGTGTAACTGGTTTGTCCTCTCTAATGCTACATCCTGATTTCCTTCCCCCCTCAAAGGGTTTAGTTTAAACCCTTCCCCACAGCACCAGTTAACCTCCCTGTGAGGACATTGGTCCCAGCCCTGTTCAGGTGTAACCCATCCACCTTGTACAGGTCCCACCTGCCCCAGAACTGGTCCCAATGATCCGGGAACCTGAAGCCCTCCTTTCTGCACCATTTCTCCAGCCATTCATTCATATATTTGATCTTCTTTTTGATACCAAGCACTGGGAGTAACCCAGAGATCACCACCTTTGAGGTCCTACTCTTTAGCTGTTTCCTGAACTTCTGACACTCTCCCTGTAGGATCTCAGCACTTTCTTTCCCTATGTCATGGATCCCAACATGGACCATGACTTCCGGATGTTCCCCTTCCCCCGTAGAATATTTTGCACCTGTTCCGTGATGTCTTCAACCCTGGCACCAGGGAGGCCACAGACCACGCGAGAGTCACGTCTTTGGTTGTAGAAACGCCCGTCTACTCCTTTCACCATTGTGTCCCCAAAGACAATTGCATTGCCACTGTTCCCGGTGTCCCCCTGTGCATCCATTTGCTTTTGACTTCCCTCCCCAGAGGTGTCATCACCCTGACCGTTATTCAGTACATTAGAACGATTTGTGAGTGCCACACTCTCAGGGGATTTCTGCACTGTCTGTCCCCTCGTCCTCTCATGCCGGGTGGTCACCCACTCACTCCCCTTACTGTCCCCTTAATACCGTGGGCCTCTAATTTTTTTATTAATCTCTTATGCGGTAGTGTGTCAATAGCCTTTTTAAAATCCATGTAAATAACGTCCACCGCATTTTCCTCATCAACCCTCGCAGTCACCTCTTCAAAAAATTCTGTTAGATTTGTTAGGCAAGATTTGCCTTTAACAAATCCATGTTGGCTGTCTCTAACCTCGTGTTCCTCTAAGTAGAGATTTATTCTGTCCCGGATTATGGTCTCCAGTAGTTTTCCTATTACCGAAGTTAGGCTGACTGGCCTGTAATTTCCGGGTTTGTGTTTCTGCCCCTTTTTGTAGACGGGGGTAACATTAGCCACTCTCCAGTCTCTTGGCACCACTCCTGTGTCCAATGACGACTGAAATATAATGGCCAATGCCTCCGCTATTTGAACCCGTATCTCCCACAGCAACCTTGGGTGAAACCCATTGACTTATCAATTTTGAGCCCAGTCAATCTTTTCAGATCTTCCTCTCTGTCTATAGTAATCTGATCTATTTCCTCTACCCTCTCATCCAATACTGCGGCATTTGGGGCATCCATTTCCGTTGTGAAGACAGATGCAAAGTACTCGTTCAGTACATCAGCCATCCCTCTGCCTCCACAACAAGATTGCCACCATTGTCTTTGATTGGAACCCCCCTACCTTTATCTAACCTTTTTTCCATTATGTGCTTGTAAAATATTTTAGGATTCCCCTTTATGTTACCCGCTAACCTCTTCTCATGCGATCTTCTAGCCTGTCTTATTGCTCTTTTAAGATCACTCCTGCATTCTCTATAATGCGCTTTGCTATCCTCAGTATCTTGCGTCTTCCAATTGTCGTACGCCATCTTCTTCTTTTTCATCCTAGACAGATTATCCCTGGTCATCCAAGCAGGCTTGGTTGTCGCACATTTCCTTTTTGTGGGAATATATCTATTTAGACCTTGAGCTATCATATCTTTGAAGATCTCCCATTGCTCATGAGTCGTTTTACCTGCTAGTCTTACTTGCCAGTCCACCAACTCTAGGTCCCTATTTAGCCCATCAAAATTAGCCCTTTTCCAGTCAAGCATTTTCACCCTTGACTGTACTCTGTCCCTGTTCATGAGTAATCTAAATCTAATAATATGTTTTATATTATTTTAATATAAATATTATATATTTTATAATTCTGCACCTCTTTCCCCCTCTGCACCGAATTCCCACTCTCACCAAATTCCAGAACAGAATTCTCACTCAGTTCCCCCCTCACGCTGCTGGGCTCTCTGCTCAAGTCTGCTGGAGACTCTGCTTTAAATCTCCTCTGCATTTTGTGGGCACGACGTGGCAGCCATTTGCGCACAGGAATGTATGAAGCTGTAGTTTGAATAGTCTTTAAATTACCATTGCATATGCTTATATTGAACAGAACTTTTGGGGGGAGAATTACTTAACTTTTTTGTAAATGTTGAATTCTTGCGTGAACCCTTCTGTATACACAACAAGGACAGAAATCCCAATTCTCAGCAGAGGTACTTTGTGCCAAATATTTATCTAAGTGAGGAAATACTTTGGAATGCATCATACAGACTTTCTCAAATTGTGTTTACATCTGCAATGATAACAGCAGGAACATATAACAGATTAGGACATCCAGCCCGTCTGCTTCACCATTTCATGATACCTGTATTTTTATTAAATAACAGGTTTCAGTTCTTTCTCCATATCCCTCACTTCCCCATCTACCCATCTTCATTTTGAACATCTTAATACTCCATTGATTAGTATTCTACTTGTTCTTCATGCCCTCCGATCCACAATTGGCTGTCGCACTTTCAGTCACTAAGATTCTGTGAAACTCTGGAACTCTCTCCCTCAATCTTTCTGCTTTACCCCCATCTTCCCCAACTTCAGTCGCACCTGAAGACCGTCCTGTTCAACCATGCCTACGATCACCTCTCCCCTCCTTATGGCTCGGCATCATGCTCCACCACTGTCAACCACTCTGGGGCTCTACACTGCGCGAGGCCCGCTATACAAATGCAAGTTGCTGTTGTTATGACCTGGGACAGTCTATTCCACCTTCTCACAACACTACAGTTTTCCTGATTTCTTGACTACTAGTATTTATCTGAAAATTCAACTGTGTAGGTAAGCATTAAAATAAATTACCTCACAATCAGAGCTAACGTCTTGATGTTTTCTGAAGCTCGGCCTAAATTATAGCTTTTGCCACCGATGTCCCTCAAGGTTGTTCATAGAATCATAGAATTGTAAAGCACAAAAAGAGGCCATTCGGCCCATCGAGTCTGTGCGGCTCCTTGAATAGAGCAATGTAATGTCAATCACATTTTCCAGCCCTTTCCCCATAACCCGCAAACCCGTCCTCCTCAAATACCCATCCACCGCGTTTTTAAAAGTAGTTATCGAATCGGCCTCGACCGCCCTTTCAGGTAATGCGTTCCAGATTTGAACAACTCGCTGCTTGAAAATCTTTCTTCTCACCTCCCCTCGGCTTCTTTTAGAGAATATTTTGAATCTGTGGCCTCGAGTCACCGACACTCCCACCAGTGGGAACAGTTTTTCCCTTTCTAACCTATCAAATCCCCTCATGATTTTGAAGACCTCTATCAGGTCCTCGTAACCTTCTCTGCTCCAATGAGAATAATCCTGACCTCTCCAGCCTTTCCTCATCATCACGGTCCCTCTTTCCTGGTACCATCCTCGTAAATCTCCTCTACACCCTTTCCAATGCCTTAACATCCTTCCTATAGTGCGGTGCCCAGAACTGGGCGCAGTATTCTAACTGAGGCCTAACCAGTGTTTTATATGGGTTAATCATAACCTTCTGACTCTTGTACTCTATGCTCCTATTTATAAAGCCCAGTATCCCATATGCCCTTTTTACAGCCTTATCTACCTGTCCTGCCACCTTCAAGGATTCATTTACCTCCACCCCCAGGTCTCTCTGTACTTTTACCCCCTTAAGATTGTATTACCGCCTATATTGCCCCTCATTCTTTCTACCAAAATGCATTACTTCGCATTTCTCTACATTGAAACTCATCTGCCATGTGTTGCCCATTGTACCATCTGTCTGTGTCTTCCTGCAGTCGTCTCCTATCCTTTCGGCTCCTATCCTTCTCACTGTTTACCCCCTCCCTAACTTTGTGTCGTCCGCAAACTTGGAAATGGTACTTGCTATACCCAAGTCCAGATCATTTATGTATTTTAAGAAGAGCATTGGTCCTAATACCAATCCCTGGGGGACACCACTGTACACTTCCCTCCAGTCAGAAAAGCAGCCGTTCACCACAACTCTCTGCTTTCTGTCTCCCAACCAGTTCTGGATCCATACTGCCACTGTCCCTTTTACACCATGGGCTTCTATCTTTCTTACAAGTCTTTCATGTGGCACTTTGTCAAATGCCTTTTGAAAGTCCATATAAACTACATCAACTGCACTCCCTTTATCCCCTCTCCGTTACCTCATCGAAAAATTCTATTAGATTTGTTAGACAAGATTTGCCTTTAACAAATCTGTGCTGTCTGTCCCTAATTAACCCATATTCTTCTAAGTGAAGATTTATTCTGTCCCGGATTATAGTCTCCAGGAGTTTCCCCACTACTGATGTGAGGCACTGGCCTGGAGTTCCCAGGTTTGTCCTTCTGTCCCTTTTTGTACAGGGAGTCACATTGGCCACTCTCCAGTCCTCGGGCACCACTCCTGTGTCCAACGAAGATTGAAAAACTGTAGCCAAAGCCTCCGCTATTTGTACCCGTGGCTCCCATAGGAACCTCGGCTGCATCCCATCCGGACCGGGCCACTTATCTACCTTCAGCCCAGTCAACCTTTTCAGTACTTCCTCTCTGTTTTTACTCATCCTATCCATTTCCTCTCCCCTCTCCTCCGATACTGCGGCATTTGGTGCATCCACTTCTTTTGTGAAGACAGATGCAAAGTACTCATTCAGTACATCAGCCGTGCCCTCTGCCTCCACAATAAGATTGGTCCCTTGGTCCTTAATTGGCCCCACCCTATCTTTGACTAGCCTTTTTTCTTGATATGTTTGTAAAATATTTTAGAATTCCCTTTAATGTTACCCGCTAACCTTTTTTCGTATAATCTTTTTGCCCCTCTTATTTCCTTTTTCAAACCTCTTCTGCACTTCCTATATTCGATTTGGTTGTCTTCTGTATCTTGGGTTTGACATTTGTCATACGCCTCCTTTTTCTGCTTCATTTTAGATACAATTACCTTCGTCATCCAGGGAGGTTTGGAAGCCCTACTTTTCCCTTTTGTGGGAATGTATTTATTCTGTCCCCGAGCTATCTCATCCTTGAAGACTTCCCACTGCTCTTTAGTTGTTTTACCTGCCAATCTTTCTTTCCAGTCCACCTTGGCTAGGTCCCTTTTTAACTCACTGAAATTTGCCCTCTTCCAGTTGAATATCTTTACCTTAGATGGTTCCTTGTCTCTTTCCATATGCACTCTGAATCTAATGATGTTATGATCACTATTGCCCAGATGCTCTCCCACTGAAACCTGCTCCACTTGCCCTACTTCATTCCCCAGAACTAGATCTAGCACTGCTTCCTTCCTTGTTGGGCTGGAAACGTACTGATCAAGAAAGTTGTCCTGTATGCATTTTAGGAATCTTTCCCCCTCCTTGCCCTTTGCGCTGTTGTTTTGCCAGTCTATGTTGGGATAATTAAAGTCCCCCATTATCACGACTCTATTGGCCTTGCATCTGTCTGAGATCTGCTTGCAGATCTGCTCATCTATTTCCTTCCCACTATTTGGTGGTCTATAGTATACCCCTACCAGCGTAACAGCTCCTTTTTTGTTCCTTAACTCTAA